GGACAGGATAATTAGAAACACCAGTCATGTGAATAAAATCACGTGACTATGACCTTTAACGTTGCCATCAAAACGGAAGCTTTACGCGGATAAGTTTAAGTACTTACTATTCTCTACATACATAATACTAGAAAGCAAAAGATTGCGAGAGATTTTAAGGAAAGGGGCATACATCGTGTCGCAGACTGCTAATGTAAAATTACACGTGCATATATTCACCTTTATTGTTTAAGCTTTTTTACTAAAGATTATGCCTGAAGACATGGGTTAATTATAATTTATACGTTTGCATAAGGTGTAAGTTCTTGAAAATTAGTAACGTGGATGGAAAACAACCGAGTTCTGAGTAAGACCTCTTTATACAAAAAGGTTTTAAAAGTTTAATTCTTTTTCCCTATAATGACCTACTTTCTATGTAGAATGAAACAAAGGTGAAAGAGAGTAACTGTCTGTGTTCAGTAAGGATTTTGGAAAAGCAGACACACTTTTGCCACCTATTATTTTAACGCTAGTAACACGTCATGAGTTTCTAGAATGATCATGACTGTTCCTGGCAACTCTAGTCTTTTCTACGCCCCCTCTATTTTAGTATATAAGCCGGCAAATAAAGCGGAGGGATAATTGCAGATAGGGAAATATAGAGACAGATAATCGAGTCAAGTCGTAAGTAAAGTGCGTGAATCGTTGTGAATTATTGCGTGTGTTTAAATTAAAGTGACTGTGGAAATTAAGTGTATTGCAAAGTTATATTGAGAAAGAATAAACTAGTTTTATTTAAGAAAGGACTTGTATCGCTGAAGTTCTTCGGAAAGAATTTTTACGGGAAATTAACAAACGACCAGAGACGTAACAAATATGTGTCAGAAGTGGGATGGAAAATAAAAAAAAATGGAAACGAGAAGTGGCAAATCAAACTACGACTTAGCAGTTTTGGTGGCAGCAATACAAGAACAGCAAAAAAAAACAAACAAGAAGAACGAGAAAATAAACAAGAAGAGAAACTACAGCAGTGGTTGGAGGAGAAAGAAAATAAACAAGAAGAGAGACTACAACAGTGTTTGGATGAGAAAGAAAAGAAACAAGAGAGGCTACAGAAGTGGTTGGAGGAGAAAGCAAATAAACAAGAATAGAGACTACAGCAGTGTTTGGAGGAGAAAGAAAATGAACAAAAAGAGAGACTACAGCAGTGGATGGAAGAGAAAGAAAATAAACAGGAAGAAAGT